TGTTTCAGGACCCCGTTACAAGTATCTTCGAGAATATAATATAGGCATGAGGAGAGATGTCGTGAATTCTTTTCTTCTCTCTGGTAGTCCATGTCACCTTGAGATACCGGGTACTTCGTTATCCTCGTCATCGTTGTACTCAAGGACTCGGAGAGGCGGACTATCTCGCAACTATTTAATGGATTGTTTCGCTCAGGCCACTTCTCGTTTTGTATTTTTTTAATTCTTTGACGAAGCGTCGAGGATGGGTGACGTTTAGTAACGAAGAACGCTCGCATAGGCAACGTCGGATTATTCATGCCGGCGCAGCTATCGGCCGGATCATGAATCCCCGTAACGATTACCATTCGTAATGATCGTCGCTTACAAGGCGCGTACAAATCGCATCCTAAGTACACCCTCCTTCTCTCTTTCTCTTCTTTGTACGAGCGCTATTACGTTATCGCGCCGCGTCTAATAGCGCGATTTCCCCTGGAAACGTCGTGTACGCGTCTCATCGTAATCGAGCTTTCATAATCATACCTCACGCGTTGGACACTTATGTAGATATCTATGAATAATTACAAGCTCCGCGCGCGATAGGGCTCTTTTCCCAGCTATTCTTTTAACGTCATCAAAAGATATACATCTAAATCGCAAACGGCGAATCAGGTAAAAATCAGGTAGCTTATCTTTATATTATATATTTATGCGCATAATGCACGAATGTCCGCGCAGAGAAAGATTAAAGCAAAGTTTCTTTGAAGTATCCGACATATTAAGGAACACGGATATATGTTTTACCTCTGCAGTGTGCTATAATTCTTTTTTATTTTTATTATTAAATTTTGTAAATTGTATTAATGTATTATAAAATGTAATATCTCTGTTGCATCTTTTTAAAAAAAATTGCGATATGTGACAAACTTCTTATTTTTTTAATTTGCAGAATGTGTAATATCTCCTATAAATAAAACTTCTTATATATATTCTGAGAAAGGTGATTCGAAGAAAATATTTTAAACAATGTATTGATGTTAATATTAGCATGTTCCCAATCAATTTTAAAATTACCCAACCGCGACAATCAGGAAACGCTCGATTTTTTTTTCTTTACGACAGACTGAACGCGCCGAAAACCGGGCTTCTTCGATTATCCACGCGCGAACGGAACGAAATCGACCGGTGTGAGCGTATCGATAGGTCGCCGGTCGGATCGGCGCGTACAAAATTACCAGATCATCTGCGTGGCTGCGTTCAGCCTCTCGCAGACGTTTTCTCATCCCTGTTCGAGTGTCCCGAACGTGATCGCACCTAAATACGACGTGACCTGGGAATTCAATGCACATCTTTTAGGTCAAAGGATGGATAAAAGAGGGCGGTGTGCATGAAGAAATTAAATCGTACGGACCACCAGGAAAGGTGGATCGGAGAAATTGCATCGTACTCCGAGGTACATTCGCGAGCTTTCGTTCTTCCCAGCGTTCTTTAAGAGCGAGTGAATGAAGTGATTTTGAGAGAAGAAGAAACACAGAGAGCGAGCGAGAGGCAGGAAGCATATATGAGAGAGAGTGCAAAGATGAGGAACCGAAACGAAGCCGCTGAGAGCGGAGGAGAGACCATTGCGCAGCCGTGCGTTAAAAATGAAGACATTCAGATGGAGATATGATTCTATATAAATCACCAAGCCAGGGCCGTCGCCGCGCCGTTCTGCCTGACCACTTTTCTGTCTCTCCTTGCTCTCTTTCTCCCCCATTCTTTCTTTCTTTCTTTCCTTTCTCTCCATCGGATCCGCGCGTGCAGCTCTCCTTGCGCCGTCTTCCTCCTTCATTTTCATCTTTGCGATTCGACCCACGATTCTTGGCGCGTTCCCTTCTCTCTGTTGCTCCTTCGAGAGGCGCGTGACCGGCACTTGTACCGGTGGCAAAGGGATTCATTTGTTTTATCTCGCCGATTCCAATTAATATTTATCGTCTATTTGCCTGACCGACAATATCTGGAAGATAATGGGCCACCCCTTTACATACGTGCTCTGGCAAACCTTATAACACTAAGGTCTATTTATTATCTTCTTCCGTTTCGGTTCGGCGCAATTGGCTTCTCTCATCGGTATCCGCGTTTGATTTGTCGAAGACGGATTGCGTGAATCGACATTGCTGAATGCTGTTGATTGGTATCTTCTAGAGAAGCCACGTTTATAACATATACATCTAGATAAAGCCCGGAGAGAAGTACTGTTTAATAAGAACGGGTAATGGTGGAGTCCGATATCGCGTTCAATGCATCGTTCTAGGTTCGACCGAAAAATATAAAACAAACCCATGATTTTAATCTTGATTTATCGCGCGTGTTTCAGGAAGTGAAGTCGATTCGGTGCAACCTTCTCGCATTTCGTGCGTGTATGTACGTATGTACGCGATGTATGGGCGCGCTCGCGTAAACTCGCTAGCGGTTCCAAGCGCTGTCACTATAATGAAACTAGATTAAGGATTTCCGGGAAAAGCAACAATTTGCACACGGAAGCGTCGTTTTAATATGTATCATTACGGCGATGCACTTGCGCGCCAAATCAACGGATACAAGCAAGACGTTCAGGCATCGCGTTTCAGATTTCCTCTTCCGCAATTGCCCGAAGAGAGTGCGAAAGCGCGTTTACACCTGACTATATACAATATAACCGCGCCGTGCAAAACGATGATCGCTTATGAGAACGGAGTTTATATACCGTTGCTATTCACCACATAAAATAAATCAGCCATGATCGAACAGCTATGATACAGTCATAGTTTCTTGAGATAATTTTGAGCGAATTATTTGATACGGAACACAACATTTGAAGAATTATAGACGAGAAATACACTGCTTTCAATATACTGGAATGTGTTAGAAAAATATCACATCAGCTGAGAGCTAATTATTTAATTATTGATAGATAAATGATAAGCAATCGTTCAAGAGCGAAGAATAAATAGTAACGTGCTCGGATATTAATAATTATTTTTATTTTTTCAAATTCCTTATGCAACGATGAAATGATATTTATTTATTGTTAATTTAAAGTACTTGACTATGTACACTATTATATGCATCCATTTTCTAATATATTCTACTGCAATGCGCTTATAAGCTAAATATCTAAAAGAGAATTGAAAGATCTGTTGGAATTTAAATATTGTTGTACTCGCTAAATCTCGAAAAAGCAAAGAATAAGCAAAGCCTAAACTGGCGCGGTTCGGTCAAAGCTGTTGTCGAGTCATTCGAGAGGCGATTTATTATAAATCGAAAAGACGAATGGAACGTGCCGGGGTGTGTATCCCTAGGCTTACATGTACTTAAACAGGCGTTTAACATAATTCATGTACTCCGAGTTCTCTCTTTCTCTTGGTCTATCTTTTTCTCCCTCCTTCTCAACTTTCTATGACTGCATCCAGTTCTCATCTTTCGTCTTGGCTACCCAGCGTATGCACCTCACGCTTTCTCCCTTCTTTCTGCCATATCCTCTCTTCTATATTTATCCTTTCTCTTTCTCCTTCTCTGTTCTCTTGTGACCAGATAAATGTGCGTGCTGGATGAGATGCGCTCATATAAATGCAAAGTGACTTAAGGAATAGTTGAGCACGATGCGAGCAAATTGCAGAACGAAATGTTGTGCTTCTTATGAACGGAAATAAAAGTGTCCGCGGGCTCATTTTTATGGGATGGACAAATTGTCTACAAAGGCAGACGATTAATGGAATATTTTATTTCGTTTATATGCAACGATTCTGGATAAGATATTCTGGATAAGATACAATGGCATTTTAATTTTCACAGATTATAAAATAGGATGCTATTAATAAAATATAGTATGTTTTGTTAAAGTTGTTAAACATTTTTTATTATCATTAATTTTAATATTGGTAATGGCAAATTATTTTAAATCTCTTTCTGTCTGTGAAAATATTTAAATAAAACGGTAACACTTTAATACATAAATAATGTAAGTCTCGAGGTAAGTCTCTTAAGATACGCAAGGACATATACGCCAAATTTCAGCTACGTTAACGTCTTCATGGGGTATCCTTAGGCAAACTGTGCCTCGTGAAGTATCGGTTCTCTAATACATTATGGTTTATATCAGTATAAGCTTACTCGGTAACGAGATTCATACTTTAGTCATTAACATACGAACATTACAAAACGGTTGGCGCGCCGTTGCCTCGTTATCGGAGAGCTAAAGCGATTCGTCTATGTCTACAAAGAAACATTTCCACAGTGATTCAACGTGACTGCTAACAGTGGCCAGGAAGTCACACACCGTTACAACTCTCACCACATCCATATCCTAATCACGATTTAAACTCTTCGGACACGCCAACACGAAGCGATAGATCACTGTAGAATATATTAACACCCAATGCTTTGATGGCCAAGAGATAGATAGATAGATAGATAGATAGATAGATAGATAGATAGATAGATAGAGAAAGAGAGAAAGAGAGAAAGAAAGAGACAGCCCAATTTCAAATTTTCTATCTAATATATCATTGCTGCAGACAATTGTATTTATATTAAATATCTTTCGATAAAAGACACATACATCGATGTTGCAGTGTGTTAAAAAAATTTGAATATTACATTACTTCTAAAACATTACATTAAAAAAATAATTGTGCATCTGACGAATACTTGGAAAAATTTGAATAAAGTATACAAAATATGTAAAAATATTAAAATGTTCTTTAATCGTATTACATCAAACTACTCAATTTTTGTAACCTAATAGACGATTATGTGAAAATAAATAATAAAATTTTATATGTGATTCAAGAAAATTTGACTCGCTGAATAAAGTCTTACGAATGTTTACGTGATAACATCTTTAATTATTCCAACAACAATTGAACAATTTACTGATAATATATGCGGCTTACGTCATGCAAATGTAGAAAACTTTTTATAAATGTCTAATAAGAGAAAAGGAGGGAGAGAAAGACAGAGATTTTAATGAGATTTTAAGAAATAATATAATATTGACTCACACATTTCATTTCCTAGATAGAATAATAACTCATATAAAGCAACTCTGTGGAGACGTTATTTAACTAATACAATAAACGTAGAAACGTGTTTTGTACCGTAGATATATATGTGAATATCTCAATACATAAAACATTATGCAAAACATTTATTTCCTTAGGCAACTTTATATTCGACGATACTGTTTCCTATTACTAAGGTAATATTAAAATATTGTTTTATCTTGAATTTTAAAATAGTGTTAATATAAAGTTATATAAAATGTTAATAAACTTTAAAATTTTCCAGATTAGATAATGTTTATGGAATTTTGATCACGACTTTTGTAGTATAAGTTGAGGCATCATCAAGACGTGAAATTTGATACGTGAAATTTAAATTTTTGATATTTTATAAATTTGTAACAATGAAGGTGATATATGTAACTTTGTTAGTTGCTGTTGTTGCGATTATCATGATCTCTGATACTACGGCCGAAGAAAAAAAAGTTAGCGAAGAAAAGAAACAGACTGGGGAAGAAGTGAAACGTATTTGGGAAGAAATAGAACGTGGTCTAGAAAAAAAGGTAGACGAATGGCTCAAACGTAACCTTAGGCCTAGTACTATACGCAGACTTGAGACACTGGGACTGTGGGTTCTAGATGAGGTACGAAAGCGTTTTATGTGTATGTTAATAGGGTGTGTGCGTGCATCTTTTAATATTTATATTTGTACATTGAAATGTTGATAGTTTTTTTAATATAAATCGTGTATTAGAATAATTATTTAAAAACAATATAATTATTATATTGTGTATAATGTATTAGATTTAAAAAATTTGCACATGAAATATATGTTTGATAAATATTTTAGAAAAACAATCGTAATATATAGGAAATACGCGGAAAAAGTTGTATTACATAAAATTATAAAATTTTCAACATTGTAAATCGATTATTGTATAAAAATGGATAATAGATGTGTCTTTCCACATAGTAATTCATAAGAAATATGTGAAATAAAATTAATAGAACATTATTTATTTATATTTGAAGAAAGATAAGTCTTATATATAGAAGAGTGAAAGAGTTTTGTATACGAATGTAACATATGTAACATATCTTTCTTTATTTTGCAAGATATAAAATTGTAAAGTTGGAAATTAAATGTTTATTATTTTCTTACATTTCAGATTCTTATAACTTTGTCAAATATAGTCTTCAATGTTGGTTGGGAAGAGACATACGACTATCTATTTGGAAATTACGGAATGACGAATATACCATATTTCCCATTAGGTGTCACAATATAATATATATAATCTCATTTTATGATACACAATAATCAGCAGATTTTTCAACTAAAATACAAGTATTCTATATGATATATCATTTGTGTGTGTGATATCATGAAGAATTACACAAAACAATATCTCCGTTAAAATTATATAAAATAATAATTATATAAAATTATATAATTAATAATTATCGTTCTATTATCGTAAAACGAAATATCTTGTACTAATAAATATCAATGTACATGTATTTTTGTATAGTTTATATTTATGTCTTATTAATCCCTAAATTAAAAATTTTGATAGATTACGTTACTATAATGTAAAAAAAATCATTATTTATATATTATATATATTATATGTAATGTGTTTTAAATTCCACAACAACATTTCATATAAATTGATATAATTATTAATATCTATAATAAAAAGATTTTGTATTTAATATAATTATCACAATTTTTATTGAAAAGTAGTAATACTGTGATAAATAATATTCCTTTTTAGAATTGTATGATATACTCCATTATTGTTTTACTATTATTATAAAGTTAGAGTTAGCAGTTAAAGTTTGAATTTTGCGTATCATGTCTTCGTGATATTTTAATGTATATTACAAAAGTCACGGTCAAAATCATAAACACATCATAAACACATAATCGGAAAAATTTTAAAGTTTATTGCGCAAATTTTATATATATTATAACTTTATTTAAATATTATCTTAAAGGCTAACATAAAACAGTTTTTTAATATTAGTAATATCAAACAATATTATTGCATATAAAATATAATGGTACAATAATGTTTATGTTCATACTAAAAAATTTTTCCTTTGGTAGTCACGCAGATAATAAAATTATTATTTGCACTATCAAACATTGTACACTAAACGTATAATGTGAAATTCTATTTTATTATTTAGAATTAAATGTTATATTGTTTTATCACATTTCAGGAATATGCTTGACAAATAATTATGAAAAACAATACGTAGGCAATATACAAAAAAAAATGTCCAATCATATTACATAAATTATAAAATTTTTGACGCTGTAAACTGATTGTATGAAAAATGAGTAATTGATACCAAGTTTTACGCATAGAGAACAAATTATAGTAATTTTCGGTAATTGTTGTTATTCAGGAAATTTTATTTAGAAATTTAATCAGATATTTTGAAGTATTGATATTATACAATACATTTTTAAAGATTGTATGTATGAGATATCGTTTTTTTTTTTTCAACTCGGAAAGCTCATATTAAATTGCATCTCAGAGATTAGGTGGATCAATAAGATCAGTAAGACACGATACGAGATCGCGATGGCTCAAATCCACGCTACCGCGCGCGCAAAGAGAAACGGCGTGTTCGTTCGAGTCGGTGGCCTTGACTTATGATAGTGCAAACGCGGTTTTTAACGTGTCATCATACAGCGGTGCTTTGTTATTACAAGCAGAAGCTCGTAAAGCAACGACGGCGGCTTCACCACAGCGAAACGTGGCACGACGCGACGAGGGTGTATAATGCACGCGGTCCTACATAATTACCGCGTCGCAGGGAAGCTTTATGACTACGCGCACTTGGCGAGTATTAATTTTCTCTTTCTCTCTCTCTTTCTCTTTCTCTCGCTTCAGAACATGCAAACTTGATAACTGGGACAGAGACGGAAAACAATCTGAAGAAATAAGAGAGAACGAGAGAGAGAGAGAGAGAAGAGCAAAGAAAGCAAACGACACCGTATTCGGAGGAAAAGAGACAGGTTGTGTGCGGAATTGCGCCGCGACGCGAATGTGGAGATAGCGCAGCGCGTGCTGCGTGTTGCGCTTCTTGCGCATAGGCCCATCATTCTCTTATTCCCGTCCGCGCCCATCGGTCGCTTGCGTTACTCGTTCGTCTCAGCATCACTTCCAAACTACCTTTTCATTTTCTCTCCTCACATTCTTTCTTTCGCGCTTCCTTCCATACACCCTCGGGATTAATTATCGTCGGCTGGAAACGTTTAACGTTTACATCTTTTTCCTTGCATAAAAACTGAGTTAATTCTTTACGTTTGTTGAACAATTTTACGGTACATCTGACATTTTATCTTGTAATTCTAAGCGAGATCATTAAATTAGGTGTGTTATTTTAACGGTATATGTTTTCATTCGACGTATATCTTGGAAGATCTTGCGAATGTGGCTTCATGCGAGATTAAATCCTATCTGAAGGGAAAATAGAGCAGTGTGTTTATAGTGATTTACATAGCTCTAAATTTAGATCGTCTGACAATCTGATGAAGAACATCTGCTACCATTAATATTATTCTAAGTGTCACACCTTGCTGATAGATTTGGGAATATCTGCCAGCTGAACCTTCCGTCAATTTCACTTAAGCATTTCTTTCTTCTGAATGTTTGTTTTACATATTTTTCAATTCAAATATTTTCAAGCGTATTTTTCGCGATATTTAACATATCATTTCTATTTATTAGAAGTAAAATTATTCGAACGCAAATTACATAAAATTTACAAAAATATATCGCTTAGAATTGTTATCATTCCATATAGTCGTATGACTAATCGCAATGGTTAACAGTAGGAATAACACATGACAAGTCGATTGCGCGATCTCGCGTTGCAAATCGCATCGCGTTTATACCGCTTCCATTGCAATAACCTACGGCGTCAATCGAAGTCACACGCGATAACGCACGGTCGTTCCGAGATGATGAGAGAAGTGGAGAGAAGAAGAAAGGGACAGAAGGGTGGACTCGAAGTGCGAGCTTCGTCATTGTCACGAGGCTGACACTTCGGGGTATCGGGCCTCGGTCTGGCCATTAATAATCTTAGCCCGAACGAAGAAACAAAGAGGAGGAGCATGAAACGCGGTATGTAGTTGCGAGGGAAGAGAACTTACGGTAAGGCAACGCGACGTCCGTTCACCAACATCACCATCACCACGTAATACGTTCGACATATATATACATATCCGCCGTACGTATACGTATAACGTAGGTAGGTATGTATACGAATGTGTCCGATGCGTTCGATAGGGCGGGACACGGGCATAAACAATTGTGCATCGAGCCTCGCCCCTTCCCGATGCGATGTAATAAAATGAGAGGACTCTCGCACTGGCCCTCCTCGATCCCAAGAGAGAGAGAGAAGTTCGCCTCGTCGGGGCCTCAGGGCCAGAAATATCGAAATGAAGCGGCGTCCGCGCGATATTTCAGCGAGCCACGGGGGTCGTATGAGTACGTGGCTGTGGAACTCGCGTACCGTAAGTCCTCCGACCTCCTACGACCGCGTTCCGAGATCTCCGACGTTCGATTGAAAGCCGAGAGCTGGCGAATTTTTTTTTAATATCGTACGTGATCATTGGGAGAGATTACGTTCGGGGCACATATGCACACCTACAAAAAGAAGTAAAAAAAGAAAGAAAGACCTCGTACAGTTCATAATTCGAATAGTCCATAATTACTGCGGCGGAAATGAATCTCCGGAACCCTTGTAAATAACGAGCAATTAATCAATGGACGGAAACCAATATGTTTTTTTGGATCGATTGTGACCTTTGTTTCTGCGAGTATCAATGGCGCATCCCCTCTTATGCAATACGCATTTTTCTTAAACGTCATTTTAAGAAGATCTTGCTTAAAATGTATTTTAATTGGAGTAAGCATATGCAGAGAATATAAAAAGTGCCGTGATTCAAGCTGATCCCAATCTCAATGAGCGACGTTCCTTGTTTTGCTTCAAGGCAGTCAGCCCGTACGTCTTCAACAAACAACTGAACCATGTCGGTTCTTGTTCTGTTGATTAAGCCGAATGGCAAACCCATAGCTTCTTAATTTATTAGAATACATAACCGAGAAGAATAAAGGCTTGCATGCTAAATTAATCTTGTACATGCACTGGAAGACCCACATTAGAAATGAAAATAACATCGGAGATAATAATCGATATATTATAGTATGGAGAACGTGTCCAAATGTAAAATCAGATAGTTTATATACAAATGTGTGTATACATATATAACGCAATACATATAAAATCATAAAATAAATTGAAAGGTAACCAACACAAGCCAGAAATATTAAAGTAAAGGCACAGATTTATAAGTTATCATTTAGCTGTGTTACATAATTTACAAACAAATACTATTAAAAAGAAAGAAAATAATGAAATTTATATTGTGCGACAATATTAATATTCATTGAATGAATAAATATATTAAAATGTAGTACATACGTGTTACCAAGTGCTTATATTGTTTCACAAATAATTTAATCGACATAACGTAGGGGACAAATAATTATACGCTGATTTTTTAAAAATTCAATCAAGCTTGAAAAAAGACTCCCAATTTCAAGGATTAAATAACACAATTCTACGGAATGATTTCATGGAACGTTTTCTTTCTTAAAAGTAGATTAATACCGCGCCGATGAAAAGCGACCGCGAGCAAAGGGAAGGGTGTGGAAGAAGGAACGAAGGAAGAGAGAAGAGGTGATGGCCGTTCTCCTGCGGCAGGGCGGACAATAGCAGCTCCACGAAGTGTAGCGGACAAACAAATAGCCAATTAAAATTCCGGTTGCACGGCGAACATACTTGTATCAGCTGCAGTACCAACCATTGTGCACCAAAGGCATGCGCGAGCCAGTGTCTGGATCGGTTGACTCGGTCTGGGTACCAGAGAGAAGATCGGTTGCTTACGACTAACCTCCGAGGATTATCTCCGCGGTAAGAGGAGACTCGTTTGCACCGTCCACTCGACTAAATCTTGCCTCACGAGACATCGTTATCGTCGAATCACGCTTTTATCGCGGTTGATTCGTGTCCACGTGCAAGAGCCTCTTTTGCATACTTATACATTTGAGTATTGCAATTACAATAGCGTGTCGAACGCATGAGCTGGATTGTGAGAATCGGCCAGATATTGATAATCAATTGCGACGAACTTATCGCAGACGGAAAATTCCTGAAATGACACTATATCAATTGGTATCGTTTCTCTATCTTGACATCCGATAAAATTCGTATGATTAATTAAGGTAGAGAATTAATTATCTCGAAGCAGGATGCTTAACTATAAGTGTCAGATTCGAAATTACTTCCTTACCTCCGATCCTACCATCTTCTCTATCCAGCTTGAATGTTATTAGGAAATCGTTTAATTGGTAGATACTGATTTTAACTGGCATTATGAATGGCTACGAGCGTCACGGGGTCATTAAAAAGATATAAAATGTATTATCCTATTACAATCCTACGGGGCAACCTAGAGCAACCGCTGTCGAGAGAATCGAATGAGGTAGCGAGTAATCGCAGAGATCACAGAGATTGCTTTATCGATTCGGAGTCGTGCAAATTGTATTCCCTAAAACGCTCTTCGGACATTACTTGAAAAATCGCGCAGTTACAACGTCGGTCGATCGATGTATTCACCGATATTCGTCGATTCTTCCTTCCACGCGGTGAGAATGAACGATTACTAAATTACAACGCGCCCTTAGATACGATCGGCGGGCCATAATTGCAGGACTATTCATACATTATTGGCTCGTATATTATTTGACGCGATTCAATAACTCTGCAGCGGGACGGTCGATGGTATCTCTCCGTCGTTAAGGCGCATTCGCAATATCGATCGGCCTCTGATGAATGGTCGTGTTTAAGGCCGTCATTTTTCCCGGCGATTATTAACACTAAAATTGAATGTGTCCGTGAGCATGGATCGGCCAGCGTGGACCAACGCGCGAAAAACGAGACCTCTCGAGAGAGGCAGATCCATCTTCGAATGTGTGTTAAAACCACGCGATACCCAAACTACCGGGAACGCCTTGCTCGCTACTCTTAAATGCAGCGGGCATGATTTATTGGCGAACACGAAAAGTAAATGAAAAAGTTTTACTTTTTTAACTGATCTCTTTACAGATGGTTAAGATTGTCGCTCGACCGTTATATCGCGAGCGCAAGGAGTTACTTATTTCAACGCGTTGTACATAGGGAAGAATATATGACATTGTATGTCTTTTTTTTCGCTACGGCTTGCCCGGAGTCTTTAGGCCTGTCTCGAAGATAATAAAGCAAATTGATGCTAATAATTTCTCGACCACTCATTTGAAAAATCAATGATATACATTTGACGATTTTTTCTTTTAAGATTTTTATCAAGTTTCTTCAATATTTGAAGATTATTTTTTTATATAATTTTTAATGTTAAGAAAAAATATAATCGCATTATTAAACATTACTAAATTATTAAATATTAATAAGCTGAAACTAGGAAAATAAATATAATTATTCACTCGTTTTTATAGTAAAACTCTAAAAGTGTAATAATTTATATCAAAATATAAAGACTATACATATTTTATTGTAATAACTTTTATATCATGAAATATATATCAAAAACTTATCTCTTTTTATAGGTGATAATATATATCTCTTTAAAAAAAACATTCTAAAAACTTTAATAAAAATTGTTGGTTATATGTGTAGGAACTCGATTAAGATTGTCACGTATGATTTAGCATGTGACACAAGGTTAATTATTTCATTCGGAACAGTCGTTAAAATCATATTCACTCGTTGTGATTATCTAATAAGTCTCGGCACGTATTTTACGCACATGTATACATACACACACAATTATGTGGATATATTCGCAAGAGTATGTTTGTGAGAGTACACGGGCGACTCATGAAGCTATAGAGGGCATATAGAGAGAATTGGAGGGAGTACCTGTGCTTCTACGATGAGACTACCTGCGGCTAATTTACAGCGAGACGCGCGGATAAGTTCCGCCGTTATTCTTCCAGCTAGAGTTTCTCTCTTGCGGGGGTTATCTCCTCTCTGCGAACGTTACCTCATCCTCATAACGGAGGTACCTGATTCACCTTAAAAACCAATGCCTCGTTTCTGCGTAGGTCGATCCGGATCTGCATAAACAGCAAGACTCGCAGCGCCGCTCATTTAAGCCCCTTCCTGAGAAGCAGCGACCACCTCGACGAGCGTCCGCGGAGTTAATAACATAGGAGAAGGAAATCACGCGATTGAGGTAATGAGAATGGCAAAGTGCCGTGGTTGATATATATATAAAACGTTAAGATTTCGAGTGAGAGCAAGATGCGCGTACGTGTACAGTTATTAAAGTACACAGACGGATGGGGTCATATGTTCTTATTAAATGTCTCATGTAGTTATTTGGTAAATTAACGGGCAACAACTGGAGCATGGCTGACGAAGGGTTTGACATTTCTGAAGGGGATAATAATACTGTAGAGGAGAGCATTGTCGGTAGCGAAGATGAACGCGATGACGATAAGTTTAAAGTATTGACGTAACGTTCTTTTGTATCTCGTTGAAAAAGATTTAAAGAAATAATGCTTGCATTTTAAATAATGTATTTTTATTAGACTGATAAAATTCCGATTATAACAACCACGAAAAATGCTTTAATAACGAAAGTGGGATCATGTGATGTATATCCGTATTGCGTCAAAGTTTCGATTATAGGTACAAGAAAAGTTGGAATGGCCTGTGCCATAGCAATCTTGATGAGAGTAAGTGCACGTGAAACAACACATACAGCTTGCAACATTTATTTGACTAATTATTTTATTTCACGATTTTTAGCGTATAGCCAGTGAAGTTTGTCTGATTGATCAAAATCAGGACAAGGCTTCTGCTGAAGCCGAAGACATTCGGCACGCTGGTGTTTTTCTAGGATGTCCATTGATAAGTGGCACATCAGGTAATGTTTGTGATAAAAATTTAGAACTTAATTTATGTATATAAAAAAATAAAAACTATTATAATTGCACAATAAATCTTTCCAACTGTATTTTTCTCGCCCTTCCTGATCATATATTATCCTCACAAAAAGAAAAAAAAAGAACGTCTGTCGTAATTTGTGTCAAAGTAAAGCTAGTATTAAGGTTGTCACTATGATTCACACTTCGGATGATCCCGTCGTCATGCTGCATTCAGTCATGGATCAACGAATCGTAAACGTTCCTAGGACGATGTAGGCCTTCCGCGCGTTAAACGCAAGGCGGTTTCATTCACGACAGCCCGAATTCGAGAAATTTTAGAATGATACGTTCAGACTGATGAGCCTGCCGAGCGTTATCCGTGCGCCACGATCACTCGCTCCGATCGACACCCATTTTAAGCGACGACCTGTCAGATTGTAGCCGTCAACGGACCCCTGTCAACGTGCAGCGGGTCAGAAACAACGGGTCGCGGTGCTCTAGCACAGACGAGAAATGGATATAACCGGGTTAAGCAGCAGAGTTTCGGGAACCAGAATTCTCCCTCCGGACCTGTCCTTTAATCTCGATTCTCGCATCTACATCGCACGCTGGCGAACCGGACGAGTGTTTCCCCCGAGTTTTTCACGGACACCCTCGTAAATTTCATCCACTCTTATTTATCTCTGCTATGATCGAGAAACTTCACGATGCGGTATTTTGTTTCTCTTTTCAACGTGTATGTAACACGCGGTTACCTCGTCCGGCCAGTTGTAAAAATGCAGACTTTCTCGTGGGAATTCAGAAGGACAGTGTCGGTAACTGAAATGATAAAGCTTGACCTCATGAATAATTTCATCAAGTTGTCGCATGTTTTCACTTCAAAAATATGCTTTTGGCTTCTTTCAAATTTTCTCAGCATTGCGTAGAACGCAGGTATTTGTACCTAGCGGAATGGCTCTTTTCGATCTTGTCTCGTGCGAGGTAGCAATTACTGGAACAAGTGGGACGACTTTTTTTACGAACTTGCCAAGTTTATCTGTAACAACATCTTTCCCCGTCGTAAATGTATCTTCCGTATAGTCGCGGTACCGCTGCGTGTTACTACAAGCACTTTGTGAAGGTGTTGCCACGGAGACTGTTTATTTTTCCAACCATGCCGGATTGTCTTCTTCGCCATCTTTATCGGCACATCTCTTTCGATGGTAAATCTTCCTCGAAAAGAGAGAAAATTTCTTATCCTTTCTAGTCATTTTATATTCCACGCGTTTCTGAGGAGCTGATGATTGCGCGATTGAATGAAACATTCCGAAGAGGGGTTCTTCGGAAACGTGTATCTGATTCTGAACGGAGTCATTTCCCGTTACGACTTCTTCTGCATGAATATCCAAGTATCTTCTACAAATGTTTCGGAGCAATTTATGCCTTAATTCTCTCAGAAGAGGAGAGATTCCTTAAAATAAATTATATATACTTGCATTTAGAAATTCCATGATAATAATCTAAGATTTACAATCAATTTTATTTTAGATGTCTACAAAGTCAAAGACTCAACCGTAGTGATAATCGCGGTTTGCGAGAAAAAGCCCGGCGAAGAGCTAAATGTAAAACACAACGTCGAAGTGTTCAAAAAGATCGTTCCTACTATTGCAAAGTTGGCCTGTAAGGCGGTGTTACTCGTCGTAACTCAACCGATCGACGTGATGTCGTACGTCGCCTGGAAGTTATCCAAATTTCCTTCAAACAGAGTACTTGGCACGGGGACTTTGCTTGATAACTCTAGGTTTCAGGATTTACTAAGTCGGAAGTTGGGACTAGCGCGCACATCGATTAGTTGTATGAGTATCGGCGCCCAGGGTGACACGTCTGGTATTTCCCATTAATTTTCCAAGAGATTTAATTCACAAGAGTTGTTTTTATTGACGCCTCTGTACTTTGAACGATATGATTTTATTTTTATTTTTACATTACTCGAAGTATTGTGAAATTATATTAATATACAGACGTTTTATTTTCACAAATATTAATTATGCCGAAAAATTATATATATAGTTTAGCCGTGTTATAAATAATCTAACAGTTATAACGGCAATTCTTTCCCTCCAACATCTGCCGTTTCACACAGTTTCCATATGGTCGAGCATTCACGTTGCGGGTACGAAGATACGCGACATAAACCCAAGAATGGGCGAAGCGGATGATCCCGAGAAGTGGCGTGACATCTCCGAGGCTGTAAATAAAACGTCAGTGGTTAAGATCACGGAACATTCTCGAGAGAATTTAGGGAAGTAATAAAATGTTGACTGTGTTTATAGCGAGGCCGAACTTAATCGGAAGAAGGGCGAGAAAGGGCCGAGTTGCTGGGCTCTCGGCTTCTGTACAGCTGAGATCGTCGACGCCATCGTCAGAAATACTAAAGTAGTATTGCCAGTATCGACATACATACATGTAAGATGTACATATAAGTTATGCGCAAATAAATTAAGATTTTATAAAAAATTATAATTTTATTTTCAATAATAATTATTATTGACTACTTTCAATAAAATTTGATATTTCATCATGCTAATATTATTTTGAAATTTTCAAGGAGTTAATTATAAAAGAGAATATAATTTGGAAAATAAATTAGAGTTGTAAAATTACAAAAAATCAATATAGTTTGTTCACTACTCATTGTAATGAATTATAATAAAACAATTAATTTGTTATATCTAATATAAAGGAAAATAAATTGATTTATCATATACAATATTTTAATATCATATATTAATAGAAATTCTTAGTTTAATTTTTAAATTATTAAATCTTCAATTCATAATTTTTTGCATCAATTTTTTTTTTGATATTGAGAGATAAGCAAACCGAATCTTCGCACGTTAAACAAACACATTGATTTGTATGTGAATTTCCCCAACGGGGAAACAAACTCAAGGAATCTTTATTCGCAGAGTTGCTCCCACGGGACTGACAAAGATGTATATATGTCGGTCCCCTGTGTTCTCGGACGAGAGGGTGTATGCGCCACGGTGCGACAGAAGCTGAACAATCAAGAAAAGACAGCAGTGCAACGATGCGCCGATGGCATCCGCAATGTGTTGCGCGAGTGCGGCATTCTTCGCGAATCGACGAACGACGCTGAAGAGTGACGTTCGGTCGAAGGCAAGAGGAGGATGAGAAGCGGATATTACGCGACGGAAACTGCGAGAGAAAGGGAAAGAGGAAGGAAAGGAAGGAGAGTTTTAGAATGCATCTTCATCGATAAAGGCGATGCTCTTGCACCTGGCGGTCGGTTTCCGCGTACATACATATGTTCGATCGTTGTAATAAAATTGATGTATGTGTGAAATTCAACTTTTCTGGAAAATTAAACTAGTCGCGTTCTTCTAAGATTACTCGCGAGCCGATGTATACGCGGCTCCCGCTATAATGTTTCGTGCAAAGCTTATTATCGTTTCCTTTTTGCTCGATCGAATTTTGATTTACGAAGCCGAACGATGTACGGCGGGAAGGTGAAAGGGCGGATGAAAATGCATTCTCCGTTGCACGCGAAGCGAGTGTATGGCCGAGCTGCGGCTCTAAAGAAGATTGGATAATTTAAACTACAATCTTTTTCTGCATTAGCTTTATGTTCGTTGTAGTAAGATCGTTGCGTCTTATATATACGTATACATATGTATAGATACGATATATTATATATACGTTTTACGGACGTCTCTGACATTAAATTTGCATGAGATTTATTCAAATATTTTAGCTTTTTGAAAAAATAATAAAAATGTGAAAATTGAATAATTATTGAAATAAGAAGTAATAAGAAGTAGAAATAGGAAGTAAGATTTTTTTTTGTAATAATAATGAATTGAATTAATAAAAATTTTATATAAGGATGGAAATTAATATTTCTAAGACCCTTCTTGAATATCCCATAAAACGGAAATTGAATGTATCTCTTTAGTAACACCGCGCATCCCACCTGTGCGAACCCGAACAGCTGTCGATCAATTTCATGACCTTCTATCCCTTGAAAACGAAAACTATAGCGGAGCCGATGCGCGATCATCACAATTGGCCATTCGTCTCTACATCTGTTCTTGGGCTTTTATCTTTTTGCATAACACAAACATTTTTTCCCGATTATAATTGATTTTGTACGGCGCGATTGAATTTATCGATTATATCTTTCATGTCTGTGATTAAACGTGTTAATCGCATCGTATATCTCTCGCTACAAGATAAGTCGAGATTTAATATTTTGTACATATTATATTGCACATTTATAAGCGTACGAGATACGCGAGAAGAAATATTTCTCATGTTTTATCGTGTAAAATTAATTTGATTATCTCATAATAAAATATTTCATTTTTTTAATCTTTCTATTCTAAATCGACAGTAAAGCTACTTGTTACATATTTGCCGTTTACTTCATTGTCCTCCTGTCAAAAGTATCGTCTCGATAGTCTGCTTTTCCAAATGTGTTCCTAATTTACGTAAATTTGAACACAGAATACGCAAAATTTTTTTGAAGAGCATTATTGAAGACACATTTACGATGTCAAGAGGTTTTTGGGTTATTTAAATTATTTAGTATTACATCGAGAAACGAAAGAACATTGGTGCATCGAATATGGCGGAATTTAGAAAGAAACCCCCTGATGTGGAAGGCAATACGGTAACCTTCTTACTGACCAAACAGGCAGAACATCTTGTGGATGGCCATCGTGTCAAGGTCGTTGTTGTAGGTAGCGCACCTAAAGGAGTTGCGGTCGCTATAGCGATTCTGTTCAAGGTCAGTGTAATGCAATTTTCAATCTCCTCTGTGTTTCTAACTTTTCATGTAATTTTTTACTTTAAACTTTATATTTTTATATGCTATAACAACATTTGAATTTATCATATTACTTTTATATAAAATCAACATACATTTCTTATTATTAAAAATAAAATATATATGTAAATAATCATCAAATAGTTATACTTTTATGTGTGGGTTTTTAAACGTTAATATATATTATTCATGAATCAACTTACATATAAAATTTATTAATCTATGCATTCTGTAATTTATTTTATCAAATGATACGATAGAACTCGATTCATCAATCTGTATGAACACATTTACAATAATTTCGCGCGAATGAGAAATAGCAACGTATCTATACGGCTCAAGCACATAATTCGTATTTATATTCTCGAGAATCAAAACTACATAAATGTTTAACATTAAATTGGTCGACCTCAGCAACATTTTTGTGTATTGCATCTAATGTAAGAAAGGATGACGGAACGATGGAATGGCCTGGTCAACGTGCGTAGATTCATATGTGTGTGTACGTATACGGGTTGGACGACTTCTGAATGTAGGCTCGTTAGTGTGCCGTTTCAAAAAGGCTATTATGCAAATGATCCACGGAAGACCAGAAGAAGGAATTTGGCTATAGGAAGGAGTAGGGTAAAACATGGAAAGGAGGAAGAAGACGATAGAAAGTTGTAAAGAAGCGTACATTCTTTTGCTCGTTATCGTGTCGTAAATGTTTACACGTCGACTATGTGCTCTATGTACAAAATAACTAATCGACTGATTTATGTCAGTAACTATTAGAGATATATTATAAGAGAGAGAGAGAGAGAGAGAGGAAGAAAAAGAGCAGATTGCAATTTTATAATTTTTTTTATTACAATTTATCTAAAATCCGATTTACAAATAATATTTTATAAAACTTGATAACAATAATTGATTATTGAAGATTTTACGAAAGTACCAAAACATTTTAAAAAAATTTATGAGGTAATCATAGATACGTAATATTTTTCATTTTGGTTTCAATTAATTGAATGTAATATTAGAAAGAAGAATGCGAAATTGACTGTAATATTCTAAACAAAATTATATGTTATGATTAGTATTATTTAGATAATTTCGTGTTCGTTTCATCAAAGGAAAAAGTTAAATGGAATATGCGAATTGCTTTGTCATAAGGCAACAATGTAACATCCATATGTTCAATATACATTCCGGTAGAGGGTAATAAGCGTGGGCGACTATAATTTCAGGTTTCGGTTTCCGCAAATTTACGAGGGCAAACAATAGTGCTCGCATGCGATGAAATATGGAGGGCGTAACTAACACACGATAGACTCCTCGTTAGATAATGTTACAATGTACATCGAGAGACTAAATAACATGTAGCGTTATGTACAAAGAGGTCACGATGGTGCCGAGAATAACTGAAATATTAGAGACCTCGTTATACCGCCGACGATGATAGCTTTTAAGGAAAATTACTCACATTTCATATGAAATTAATGTCGTGGATCTCCTCAAAAACGGCATCGTTGTCGGTTCTTTTGACGATGACAAATGACTTCCTCAGACTTCAAAGTACGCATGCCTATTTAATATTAATCATTTGGGTTAACTGTGGGAGTCGAAATTTCGGTGGCGCTTGTTCGACATGATCACGAAGATGTTCTGCTTGCCGGAACGGCAACCAAGGATATTTCGGAGGAATGGACAGAGGGAAGGAGCAAGAAAGATACGATCGAGTCTTGCCGTTGCACCTCGCGTCGTAGCTTGGCAGATCTCATCAAGGAGATCATCGCGAACGTACGACTACCACGGTTTACCATCCACCTTGCAGATCTATCTACCGTAAGTGGTTCCTTGCAACTACACACGCGAGATATGCTTCTTTCTTTTTGCTTCGTCCCCGCTGCGACACGTCGTGTTGGACGGTCCGTATCAAGCTGTGCGAATTATACCAGATAAAACCATCAGCGAAAGATACCTTGTCTGTATATCCGAGACAAAATCTCGATATTTGATACGCAGGGCAATTAATGTCTGCCTCTTAGATCTCTATGCGCGTGTTTTATTGATCAAGAGAGGAAGATAATAGAGAGATTAAAATTATTTATCGCGTCGCACGAGTTCTTACGAATTTGTGCAAATATTTCTAGAGCTTTTGAAAAACATCTTATTAGCTGCACAGGAAAAATTCAGCAGCTAACAATATTTCTTGCGGAAGTCACGCTTGATGAAGTATGATAATTATGTAGTGCACAAATAACAGATCGGAAGCATAAGGGCTCAACGTAATACATCGAGAAGCCGTTTTGTAGTCAGTCGGGCGTTTGTCTTAACGCGTGAAGCACCATCCATCAGAGAGAAATGCGTCCGTCTGTTCGGTGCACAAGCGTCGGTAAAGCGTACTTAATATACGCTGCCATTATCACAAAAACGCATTTATATACGATATGGAACCCTAGGCGAATAATGCCCATTAGCTTTTACGAGGTGATTTACATGATCGTCCGAATATCTCATTATACCACAAATTAGTCTGCACAAATTAGAACTAGAACTCCTCAGAACTCCACTTCAAGCTTAATGATCCGTCGCTCAAAAACGAATATGAATTGCTGATCGTTCTCCTCTTACCCTCATTTGCCGCGTCACTTCGTGAATTGTATAACGTTATAATACAATTTTTATAATACCAATATTTTTGAGTAAACCGTGGAAGTGAAAAATTTGCGGAGTTAGAAATAAAAAAATATTTATGTGAATATCATTGCAAGAGAAAAATCAAGTATGTGCAAACAGAGGATCGCATTCTTTATATCGTTTGACATTCCATAACGAATACGATCGCAAGAGATCACATATTCAAATCTCCTGCCGGGTCGAAAAGGTAGTTCCCCAGAAGAAACCTACGACACGAAAAGAAGCTGTACCGGTCCCGTAATTATTCATGAATGAGTTATCGCCCTGCGTAAGACATCGCTTGTGTCACCAGGTACAACCACGACGACAAGACAAAGCTAAACCGACAAGGTGAATCTTTCCCGAAAACAGCGCGCATCTCGATGCAATGGTTCGATAAATATATGATCGGATCTTAACGATTCTTCACATTAAAGGACTTTGCAAATAATGCCATTGATCACGCACCAAATTGTATCTTAATGCAATTTCCGAGAGAGTATGCTTAATACTCATTAGATTCGAAGTATCTAACAAAACTGCTTGCCAGGAAGCAGTAATCACTAATTAATTTCTAGCTTTTTTATTCTGTATTTTATCATTTATTTTCTTTATGATTTATTGCAGCGCCTCGCTTCGGAACTTGTCCTTATAGACACGAACGAAGACCTTGCTAAGGCGGAAGCAGAAGACATTAGCCACGCGGCGGCATATCTCGGCAATCCCAAGATTATTGGTACCAAAGGTGAAACTTGATGGGAAAAAGGGAGGGAAAAGAAAATAGCGAGAGCGTCATCACATTATCCGCGAGTAATGAACAATTATCTCGAATGAATGAGCTTTAATGTTTGAATAAATAAATAATTGCGATTGCGATTAGCGAGAAGTTACCAAAGGTGATGTACACGTGCATTATTGATGCACTGAGACATCTCGAAAGATGTCTTAATAAAATTGAAATAAATTTCGCGACGACTGACGAATGAGCGGTGGATGCAAATTAATAAACGATATGACTGTAATAAAATGAAAGTATTTGAATCTTTCTAGAAACCGCGACTCTCGAAAATGGAGAAAAAGTTATCTTTTTCATGATTTGTTTCGACAAAAACAACGCTTATGCAAATTAAAAGCTGTAAAAATATATAAAGCCTTCTGCGTCTCTATAACGTAAGAGTAATTATTTGCATTAAATGATGAATCATCCGGCATTTATTACGCTTCGACAGATTATGCTTGTGCCAGAGACGCTGCGGTGTGTGTGATCACAGTTGGAAGCCAGTCTCATGAAGATCAGCAATCAACCGATTATCTGGAGCATAATCTAAAAATCTTTAAAGATATTATTCCGAATGTCTCCAAGTACGCGCCGAACAGCGTTCTGCTTATTCTTTCAAAGCCAGGTACATCTCATTACTATATTTAACGCATTTGCAATAACAGAAATTGCATACATGTGACATTTTGATTTTTTAATAACTAGCATTGTATTTATTTAATTGCTTAATAAAATAATTATCATATTTTTCCATCTAAATATTATACAACATTTATGTATATTATAATCAAGTAGTTGACATGGATTTTATAATTGTCAATATTATAATCATAAATAATAAATAAATAAAAAGTTATAATAATTGAAAATTATTCCTTCTCCATCTCTCGATTTTTTTATTTAGTCGACATCCTGTCGTACGTTGCTATGAAGCTATCGGGATTTCCACCCAGCCGTGTTATAGGACTAGGAACATTTTTGGATAGTTGTAGATTTCAATATTTTATCGCTCAGAAACTCGGAATTTCGGCGAGCGCAATTCAAGCATTAATCATTGGTGAAAGCGGACCGGCTTCTGGTATAATTTATATAAAATCTATCATAAATTCTACTTAAATATCTTTTTTACTTTTAGTTAATTAATTTCTTTGTTATTATAATATCTTTATTAACTTATATTATCTATTTCAATATGTGTTAGTGCCGGTTTGGTCCGCCGTTGCAGTAATGGGCATGCCTTTAAAAGACATAAATAAAGAGATCGGCATGAAAACGGATCCAGAATCCTGGGGGGATTTACATACCAAGATCATTAACAGTGATAACGAGTTGATTACAAAGAAAGGTTATCACAGCTGGGGAGTTGGTATCTGTGCAAGTGAAATCGTCGATGCTATCGTGCGCAACACTTGCGCCTGTTTTACTGTTTCAACGTTTCTAAAGGTTCATCGATAGAATTTATTTAATTATACCTCAATTTTTTCTTGTCTGCAAATTTGAATTAAAAATATATTTTTTATGTATTTAAAAATATATATTTTGTAAAAAAAATATAAAATATATTTTAGGGTTGCCGACATGGACTTGAAAAAGATATCTTTATGTCATTACCGTGTGTAGTAGGAAGAAACGGCGTCCAATCATTTATTCGTTTATTATATACAGCTAAAGAACAAGAATTAATGACGATATCTTGCCGAAGAATTTATGAAATGCAGAAATCGATCCTTGACAAGATTGAATGAATAAAAAATGTAAAATATTTCTCACATAATTTTACAATTACAACATTCGATTATGTGCAATTTAAGATATTAAATATTCTCGACAATTAATGATAAATTATTTCAATTTTATGTCTAAAGATAAGAAAAAAAATTCAGAGGAATCAGAGAAGTTTTATATATATTTATTTAATTTATTAATCATGTAAATCGTGTAAATAAAAGAAAGTTACAGATTATCTCGCGAATTGTTTTATGTGCCGATTTGTATCAGCTAACGCATTTCATTGAACACCAAGCAGTATACTATGCTCTCGTGTGACAAAGGATCTTATATTCTACTATCCGGCTTATGCAGTTGGAGTCGGAGAATTAAGAAGAGAAATCTGCATTTGTTTTATAGGATGATTTGGTTTTGTTGCGCAATCTGATGAATAAGGAGTCTTATAAATTGCAGGGCGTACTCTGAGGATTTCGGCTCCAATTTGCAAAGATTAATGTAGACTACTTGTAATTAATTGCTCTGTGTATGGAGCAGTTAACCGTCCTGCTAAAGGCGATCGACATGATAAAACGATTGCTATTATAAATATAAAGGAAGGCGGTTTTGCGACCCTCTAGTGGTCAACGATACACTAATTTGTTATAAAATTCACACATGTTGATTCACGCTTTTTGTCTCTGTCATCCTCTACATTAGTTAAGACGTTCGTTTACCATCTTGTGTATATTGGAGATACTTTGTTATTGATATTCGAACAGCAGTAATACTAATTGTAAGTATCTTCAATATACAACAAATTATCTCCAATATATACAAGAGATCGAATAATGTAATCATTTAGAGGCAAAATACTTTATGCAATAGCTTCGGTTATTTCAAATTGCAATACACTTTATGTTTAAATAAATATTTATAAAAATTGTAATTATATATAAAAATATTATTTATATACACAAAATAGAATAAAGAAGAATAATGCAAAAATAACCAGGTAAACATTAGAACATTAGATACAATATGTAATCATTAATTAAAGTAATCATATTTTTAATTGTATGATAGAATGGAAACTAAACATTATAGGTGATAAGAATAAGAGATTGCAATTTAAAAAATTTCTTTTAAATTCTGAATAAAAGATAACATTATATATTGACATCAATTTATATAAATTAAGCAGATCACTAGAAAAAGATTTATATTATATAATTCTTAATAAAATCTTAAATACATAGATACAAATAAAATCTTAAATACATAGGTATTTTTATCTTTAGAAAAAAATATAAAATGTAAAATTTATAATGAATATTCATATATAATCGTCAAGGATAGCCTCTTCTTTAACGGCCGTTCTTTCTATATTTCAAGATATTAGCAAGTTGCTTAAAGTGGTGGTAAAAACATAGTTTGCGTAATCATCTCTAGAAAAGAATATAAATAGCTGTTACAGCGGAAAAATCAGGCAGATTATAACAAGATCGCATATAAAACATCAAAAATATTAATTCAATAATTTCTCGATCTTATCATACATCAAATTTGCTATCAGTGTTTATAATATTTTTATTGTAAATATAATATTATAAATTGTATAATATAAATAAATATTAAAATGGAATATTTTGTGAAAATATTGTGTACAATCGTGTTGGTTATTATTTTATCGCTAACAACTTGTCTTTCAACAAGTCAGCCTGAACATTCTGCTTCAGATAATATGGGATCAGGGAAACAAAATAATCGAGACAAGCCGACGACAAAATGGCCAAATCGCTACTTCAATGTAAGTACATTTTTATTATTTTTACATTTATTGTTAATCATAATAAGTAACAGATTTCTGTTGAAAATTTGTTTATAAACATCGCTTTTACATTTTGCTATTTAATAAAAGCAGACGCTGCTTGTAGTATTTAAATAATTTGGAAGGGTTTTAATAGTACCAGCATGTATTATATATCAAGCTAACGTTTTAAAATTATTTTAGAGACGCATAAAACATAATTTCTAATAACTGGAGAAATCTGTTGTAAATATCTAGAAAAAATATTGTTTAAATAAGAAAAAACTATTAAAATTTTAATATTAATCTCTATAATTTTGTTAATTTTTCCAATGCTTTCTGAACAAGAAAATTTAATAAAAATTATATTTTGATGTTGCAGTTTGGATAAGACAAATAATTATTTGACAAAAATTGTATGCATTTATTGTCCATTATTCATGTTGACAAAGGACTACATGAGAAGCAGTAACTTTTCTATATGTCATATATTATATATACCGTATGTGTATGTGTGTGCGTAATGTAAAATAATAGATAAAGAATTTATTAATATTCCTCAGGTTTTATACACGTTAGAAAAATAAGAATGTAATGTCTAAATGACATATCTTAAATGTGTAATGTGCAATATTGTGTCTTCTATTTATATGACGCATTTCTTATTTGAAAATAATAAATAGAACTAATATAATTGACATGATAATAATTATAACAGTTTAGAATTTTTACTAGAAATTAAAAAAGGAATTATATTGTGATTAAAATAAATATTACATGAATTATTAGAAATAAATAGTAAAAGATGTTTCTAATTAAATAAATAAGTTTATTTATTGAATAAATCTTTAATAATAATTGTATTTATAAAATCTAATTTTTTATAGAATAATACAATTAAATTGTTTTTAAATATGTATTAATGTATTTTAATTTATTGTGTCTCTATATCTTACAGAGAAACAAAACAGTAGTTTAAATATAATAATAGTTTTTGAAAAACATATATATATTTTCTTCCTTTTCTTATTCTCTTTATATATTTTTTATATTCTTATTGCGTTAATTTGAATAATCTCCCAGTTTAATAAGATTATTTGTAAATAATATAAATTCTTCATATGTATATAAAATATAGTACATTTATAATGCATCAAATGTAACTCTCTTGGTTTCTATTATAATTAAATAGCTACAATTAATTTGCAAGCAAATTGCTATTTTTATTTGAATATCGCGGTAAAAAAAAGTACGAATTATTGTTTATATTTAACGTTTATCTTTAATTACACGCGCTGTGTGTACATTAAAATATTGTCTGAATTTTATTTGTTTAAAATAAGATAGTATTTACACATGCAAATAAAAGTATTAAATTTAATTACATCTGGTGTTAAACAAATACGAGTTTTGTATTAGCGAGCCCGCATTATGCAAAAAGATGAATTTAAATATACATGTAAAAAATGCATCTACGTGATCTGGTATTGAAAATTTATATATCTTGTATAGTTTATGCGAACGAAAAGTAGGAGGAACATCGGAGACATCATTGAACAGGCAAGACTCGCGCGGTGGTAGGTATTACTAATTACATTTATACTTTTTTATTCCAAGCGAATATAATGCCGAAGCGAAGAGGCTGTCGATCGAAAAAAGAAGGTGCGCAAAGAGAGGAGATGAAGTAAAAAAGGAGACGCTGCCTTGCGGAGAAGATCGGCGAAGGAAGTATGTAAAAAGGGGATAGGGTAGGGATTGGAGTGCATTACTCAAAGCCATCCATATGCCATCAGCAGTCTGGGACATATGTATGGGGGTCTCGAACTGCGCGCATACGCTCGTAAAATCGCCGTGGCGCAGGAGGCAGGTCGAAATCCTGATTGAGTTACGATTTAATTAGTCCGTGCGGCCAATCAGTAATTAAGATATCCGTTAATCAATGGGCACAGCCTCTCTTGAATCTCTCTTTCTTCTCGGGCTTGTCGTTGCACAACTTTCGTCATTTTCTCCTTTTTGTTCATTTTCTTTTTTTTCTTAAAAAAAACTGTGTCCTCTTTGAATTATTTCTATATTCTGTTATACACTTCTATATTTCTATATTTCTATATTCTATCTACTTTTCATTATAATTTATTATTAAACTTGAACAATTATTATATATTAATATCTTGAAATGATTTAATAATAAAACATTGAAATACAAAATATATGTATGTATGTATGTATATTTTATTTTATTTGATATTATTTTATTATTATAGTCTTATGTGACGTATATAAATCAAATAATTAATTTTGTATTGCAATTTATTTATATTTAATTTTTTAATTTAATTTTAATACATTATTGCTTATTTTTTATAATTATTTAGTTTTATTTACCTGAAAGAGAAAAATACTGAACGTTCCTGGCATCTGTTGGGAAAAGAATGAACACATACGATCAAATAATATATCAGAATATGTCTGTTTTTGGCCACTTTTTTATAAACCTGTTTACCATGCATAGTCTCTCCGATCCAAGCAAGGAATTTTACAAGATTTATGTATGCTAATAATTTTTTTACACTAAAACGATATCGATGCATATATATTATCGTACTGATACTATTTTGAAGATTTATAATGTCTTCTTCAAATGTATGAGATAAAGTAGTCTACATTGGTTGTCCGTATAAGATAACGTTGATTGTAATTAATAGCCACTACATTAGTTTCACAATCAGTTAATTATCGGGATAAATTAATGGCGTGAAATCACGCTACTACAATTGTCCGAAATCAATTTTATAATATGTGTATAAATACACAGATCTTTATACAAAGGTTTTTTTATCAAAGAAACAGAGTAGAATACACATCTGTTTGAGTAATGAAATATGTTTCAAGGAAAAAATTTATTAATACAGACGGCAAGAAATTATAATAATAAATATAAAGACATTAAGTATATATTGTGTAAAAAACGAATACAAAATTCATTGTTAAATAAAATACATGTAGAATCACTTATTTATCATAGAGATATTTAATGATCAATATAAATAAAAGATATAGATTTAAAAATTTTATGAATAACAATTAATAAATTATATATACACATATGTATAATTAGATGTTTCTATATATGTCATTCTTTTTATTATTCGCGAAAGATGCGGAAGCTAATCGAATCTGGACATATATGTATACATATTCTTGTAGATGTAATTTAACTTAGGTGCAATGGATCGCGAAAATATGTATGCGATTTGAACGTAATTGCTATTTCTTAATATGATACGTGACTACGCAATGAAATTCTTGATTCCATTTATCCAGCAATCAATGAAAGATTGCTGTAGATAATTTTTCAGCTTTATACACACATTTTCCAGAAGATAAGGTAATCAATGATTACTAATAGATCTGTGCACATATGTATGCTATTATATAATATATAGCATACTTATATCATGTTTAATAAAACTTAAAATATATTCTAATATATTATTCAGTATTCTTTTTTAAAAAATATTAATGCGAATTATAATTTACAATTTCCATAATAATTTCCAGATATTGTCTGATATTTTCTATAAAAATTAATTATAAAATTAAAAAAAAAAGAAATTTATTTTGATAAATTTTATTCCAGTTCCGGTTACAAGTCACGATATCAAGGATAAAAGGAGTAGGGATAATAATCCTATACACAAGCGGACTAGGATAATTTCGCCGCTACGAAACCGGCCTATGTCGATATCGGAGTTTGATTTATAAAAGGGTGCTGGATTACCGAGAGCGGTTAGATTTTATTTTACCGTCGAAGGTAAAGCAACGTTGGAACATCATTGGGTACTCAAACACGAAAGGTTACGGCTTGATTCACAGGTAGATTCTAGATTGTTTCGGTGATTACGCCTCGATTCGAGATTTACGGGCAAACGAAACCTTTTAGACGTATCGCCATTTATTTATAGTTACGGAGAATCACTTATTGCAACCCGTTCGTTCACTCTCTTTTCTTTCTTTCTTTCTCTTTCGGAATTTTTTCTCCCTTCTGGCCGTCTTCATCGTCTGCACGTGCGAGCGCTTTTAACGCCCGACGTCGAAAACGACCACCCGCGGTATCGAAGTGGTACGGGAATGCGAGCAGGCTTCAAATTATGAACAAATGTCAACGCTTATATAATTGAAAATTCGAGTTTTATAAATTAAATATTATATATTTAGTGGTAGCCTACGGTGGTCGCGTAAGAAAAAGAGAAATCGCTGAAATGTTTTTTATTAAGAAAAATAATAACTATGTTTGTTCTTGACATCTTAAAATTATAATTTTATTTTTATTTTTACAAGTATGTTTCGCTTCTTTTTATTATTTAGTAATATTGTTAAGTAAAGTAATTTTTTTATTGTATTAATCTCTGTACTGTATTTCTTCTCTATGTATATCTAGATCACTTGATAAGGACTCAAAGAAGGGTCGAAACGTTGTGATTTAATAAATAATATTTGTCAGTACGGTCGAGAGAATAGTCTTACTTTTTTTTTTAAATATAAAATGTTGGTAAAATTAATGTAAAGTAAATTTATTACATCATTATTACATACGCTGATCAATTAACTTTGCAGATATCTCCTGTAAAATTTAATTATCATTATCATTATCATTATTATATTAGAAGTTAGAATTAGATCTTAATGAATCAGCTTATGAAATCAGCTTTTTTTGACAGGCAATAATTCACGCTTAGACTTGCGTAAATTAATATCTAGAAAATATTTATTGTTATTAAATTTGTCATTTTGTCATTGCGTAAACGGCAGATGTTCACGCTTCAGTTACAATGATGCAGGAGTCGCATTACAGTAGCGACAGAATACCGTTTACATCCATCAATGTTAATGTTCGAGTTTCTAAGAGGTTTCGTGGTCTCTTTCTCTTTATTGAAGACAGCGGACTCCAAGGTAGTAGTTGACGAGGAGCAAGTTATTCGCTTCGCAGAAGTGATAAACCTCATGTGTATGCGCAGATAAGGCTAAAAAGAGCCATCGTATGCATACCTAATTGCCTTTGGTACATTTATATGACTATGCTAATTCCGCGACGTTAACTTTTTGGGCTTTCAGGTTTGTAATTATGTATGTCATCTCTCTCTTCATATAGATGCCGCAATTGTTCAACGACACTACCTCGAGTAAGCTTCTCTGGCCATTTTGGCCTTCAGCTGTAGCCGTAGATAAATGAGACAGTCAATTAATCATGTTTTTATATGCTTGATATGGACTGTATATTGAAGTGTCAACATTAAAATAATTTAGTAATTGGATTCGGATTAGTAAAAAAGGACCTTGGTGTAAAACATTTGTGAAGGAAAAGCGCACAAGATTAAAGATTTTACTTTCGATTAAAATTATATTTAAAATGTTCTTTTGGAAAAGTTAATATATAATTAACATTATACTTAAATATTTATTTATGTTTTAGAAAATACTACTATAGAAAATGTGTTAAATTGTTTTATATAAAAATAATCTTTAAGACTTTTTTTACATTTAACTTATAATTAGATAAAAAGTTAAAGATCGATTATGTATAAAAACATAATAAAATAAATTTTTTGTAACTTATTTAAAAACTAAAATATTATTAATGATATTAAACAGATGATATATTTTGAAATCTAAATAAAAATAAATAGGTACGTGTTCTATATGTATATACTATTGTGCTATATATTCATTAAATAAATATATAATGTAATTTCTAATATATTTCTTATCGATATATCTTTCTTTCTAATTAACATTGTTACTATAAATCAATATTTAAAAATTTTCTGTCATAAATGTTTTATTTTACTCTTGACGTCAGCTGCTAAAAATATATTTATAATACAGTTTAATAGCTTAATATATTTAAATTGATGCATTTCTATTGTGCTTGGCAGTCCGGTATGTTACAATTCAATACCATATTTCACGTAACAAAATTTGAGGGATACATATGCGTTCACGTTTTCTTGTTGATACAACTATTTTCACTTTAACAAGACAAATAAGTATATCCGCCAACGAAAGCAAGGGAGAACACAAATAGGGCATAAGAGGAAAAAAGATGCCAAAACCGCTTAAATATGAGCATCATATGTATACATACATGTATAAATGATGAGACACCGTGTTGCAGCCACGTGAGATAAGTTGCATCAGAACACCGCTGTCTCGTGATTTGACTCATCTTCGCTGACTGTGATCAAGAATATTATCGCGATGCATTAATCTGACTAATGTGTGCATTGCTTATCTACGGTATAATCTACCTCAAATTGTCAATATATGCTATTCATCTCAATATTGTAATACTATCCCAGCTAGAAATAAATGATCACATTGACGTCGAATCAACGTCAATTCGACATCGATTTATCTAGCGACGTTGATTCAACGATGATCGACGTCAATTTGTCGTCGAATCGACATCGATTCGATATCATTTCTGGCTGGGTATACATATAGTAAATATTGCTGTTATGATATAATTTTATTTGATTAATTATTTTAAATGTCGTTATATATTCCTGTACAATATTTGTACTACTTTTTAATATCTGTTTTGCATTGATTTTTCCTGCAACAAATATTGTTTTATCATTACAATGAACGTATGTCAAATTGTAAAAAAATTAATTATCGCGGCTAATAATTAAAATTCTTTAGAAATGGGAAGAAAAATTCTAAGAACTAGTCTTCTATTTAAAAAATAAGTTTAAAAATCGTGTACATAATCTATTCGGAGTGAAAATTGAATATAATCTAATTTTTCTAAATATTTTACATTTATATTTTTTTAATATTTTGATAAAATAATATTTTATAACAAATACTTCTTCCTCCCCCCTCTCTCTCTCTCTCTCTCTCTCTCTACAAAAATTTATTGAAAGTTAAAATTTATATTATTACAAAATTAAATTGCACAAGAAATGTTTTAGATTTTAATTTAATTTTAAATATAACTTTTACATGTCTTTTTTTGTGTATTAAAAGTGTATTAAAATTTCTTGAAAATAATTTTATTTTTGTCATATAAAAATGTTTAAAAAATTATATTAAAAATAATGTTTTTTATGAAAATTATCAGACAAATATATCAACTAAAATATTTTTATTTGAAGAAGTTAAAAAGATAAATTTAACTCATTCATGTTCTGCACTATAAAACGCAAAATTATTGCTTGGCTGTATTACTTCCAGAAATACATTTACCCCACTTCTTAATATTCTCACAGTTTCTGATTGGCGGATTTGTGAAAGATTCAAGAGAAGATATTCTTTTCGAACTGGATCGATGGTGAATATCATGTTATAAGCATGATTGCGTCACTTTACGCGTGCGCAGTGTCACGTTTCTTTCTTCGAAACCGCGAAGTGCTACGTGCTCCGAAGCATCTCCGCGTCTGCGCCTATACTACGATATTCGAATCAGAATTTACGTGGCATTTTATTAATGGTTTATAAAAAAATTGTATATTTTGATCATTATTTTTTAAATTTTGATATTTTTATAATTTCAATAAATGTCGAAAAAGATTTCAAATAAATGTGAAAAAGATTTCATATGTTTCATCATACTTGTCGTGTTTGCAGAAGGCATATAAAATGGTGGGGGTAAGGTCACCTTAGTAAACCTACATCCCTGAACTGTCAGTCCAGTAGAATAGCGGTGTACCGGCTGCTACGCGCTCAGTCTGTGTTCGACAGTGTCGAAGAATAGTGCTGCTGAAAGAGTATTTATTGAGGTTCGTGAAGATTTACATTAAACATATATATATTTATTTTATTATCTATTTATATTTATATTATTTGTAATTATGTTTGCTTAATGAATCACAACGTCTGAATTAATTGTTTATATTGAGTTGTTTTATATAAAATGTCTGCTTTTTAAATAATAAAAATTTAATTAATACAAAATTTAATTAATGAAAAATTTAAAAGACAATATTTTTTATATTTTTAAATTTATTAATTAAGAACTGTTATAATCTACGCATTTCAAACAGTTTAACGTGGATCCACTTTAATATTTTATCGTCAACGATAGTTTCAGGTCCACGATTTGTGAGTCTTTTGTCTCCAGATTTAAAGTTTTTTATACCATGGACGAATGGTACGTTTATTGATGGAATTCTCACCGAATACAGCATTAATGTTTCGAGCGACTGCTGCAGCATTTTGGCCTCTTTTGCATTCATATAAAAAAGTACGCGAAAATTACATTTATTTATATAAAAAAAATGTTTAAAAAAAATACATTTAAAATTAATTAAATCAAAGAATTAAATTACTTATAAAAAGACAAATTTTGAACTTGAAAATGATATATAAAACATGCACATTTTCAGATTTTTATTGACAAAAAAAGCTTTAAAAAGTTTACATTGCAAAATCGGACATTTCATACGAAACAACTTAATATAATATAATAATAATAAGAATATTAGGTCGGCTCTTTTAATTTAAAACACGATATACATCTCCTTCTTCTCAGTCACAGAGCCAAACGCGATGTTATTGCGAAAATTAAGTAATCTGAGAATCTGTATCCTATGATTGGGATCTCAAGAATTCTTCTTAATCCTCTTTTAACTTCCCCTGTAAAGAAATAGGCGAGAAAAATATTGGTCCAAAAGTTGGCTAAATCGGGAATCAAACCCGAGACCTTTCGCTTGCCGGGCGAATGCTCTTATAATTAATATAATATAATAGTAAAATTAAAAAATATATTGCAAATTTATTTTCTATGATTCATAAATTTAAAATTAATTTATTTTACTAGATATAATTTTCGTTTAATTCAAAAATATTTATAATGTAAAATTTCTTTTCCTGTGTTTCTTTATTTGATTAGCTGCTCGCTATCAGCCTATATTCATTATCTGTGATAAAAAATATGTCGAGCACATGGCATTTATTACACCATGTGTGTGTAAAGTCGTTACCGGTGTGTTAAAATTTATCGTTCCGTACTTTCTTACAATACAAAGTGCAATGAGTTTAATAATACCGGACGTTATACAAGCCGTTGATTATATCTCGCTGGTCAAGTGCTATTCGCATTTTATGATTAATCAACAGTCTGCGATATCAAAATTAATCACAATTAAATCTTCATGTGTTTATTCTTCGTACTTTTCCGCTTTACAATTTACATATTTGTGACTAATTCAAAAGGATCAGTATTTCAAAGAAGAATGCATATTGATTGTACTGCTACTGCCATCTGACAATTGAATGCACATTTATTGCATTCGTTGCATGTGCAATAAGTGACAAGAAATTGCGTGATACATTTTAATAATGCAACCATGACTTGAAATGATACTTGCCAGCGTGACATTATTCCTTCTAAAAAAAAGAAACATACGCATGTTAGAATCGATATTATTAAGAGGGTTAATGACCTCAGCTTGATTTTAATTGGACGCAAAGATAAAGAAGGACAGTTGCTATTAAGAAGAAATTCTTTTAAGTAATAGAGAGATATCATTACTTCATGGACATGCGTGCCGTCAGCATTATATGACCTTTTTGACCTTCACAGTGATCTTTTTCTTGGTGATTCTTATTAATATTATTTTTTGTTGCAAATATTAATTTAAACTTAGCTTTTTTATTATTTGTTTAATTAATAGAAAAAATGAAAAGATAAATATGTATAAATAATAATGTTATTATTTATTGTATATATAATATATATATAAATAATGTTACATGCAAATTAAAACATACATAACATATTTTTTAATCAGTATATAAATACATTATTAAATTATATGTATACTTTTACAGAAAATGGCAACGTTAAAAGATCAACTTTTAACTACTGTCACGGATCATGTGCCAATTGGTAGAAATAAAATCACAATAGTTGGTGTGGGTCAAGTTGGAATGGCCTGTGCTTTTAGTATTTTGACAAACGTAAGTTTACATAAATTATCAATAATTATAATAGTTTAAATAAGTTATTATATTTTTTTTGACAATATTAGTAGACAACGCAGAATAAAATATATATATTAAAAGTTGTATATGTTTTATTATAATGTATATAAAAATGTATTATATTTATTTTTAATCACAGTCAAATATGTGTTTATAAAATTAAATCACTCAATAAATAATATTGCTTTTACAGCATGTTTCAAGTGATGTGGTATTAATCGACATGATGATAGACAAGTTAAAAGGAGAGATGTTGGATTTACAACATGGCAGTTCATTTATGAAAAATGCAAAAATCAATGCTAGTACAGATTACGCCGCTACTGAGAATTCGAGTCTCTGCATTGTTACAGCGGGTGCCCGTCAGCGTGAAGGCGAAACCAGGCTGGATCTGGTTCAACGTAACACTGACATTTTCAAAGGCATCATTCCTCAGTTAGTCAAATATAGCCCGAACACGATTCTCTTGATCGTTTCCAACCCTGTAGATATTTTAACATACGTGGCGTGGAAACTCTCCGGCTTGCCAAAGAATAGAGTCATTGGTAGTGGTACGAATTTGGATTCTGCCCGTTTCCGCTTCCTGTTATCTCAAAGACTTAACGTCGCACCTACATCCTGCCATGGGTGGATTATTGGAGAGCATGGGGACACCAGTGGTATGTAAAATAATTTTTTAAAATAGACAATTTTTTGCAACTAATGAATCAAGAATATCATTATTAATCGACCCGGCAGTTAAGATAAATGATATTTTAAAATACTATAAAAGAATATAGTTTTTTTCCATATCTCAATAAAAATTTAATGCAATTAAAACAGCCAAATTAATGTATATGTATAATTATAAAAATATTTATTTGTGTAATATATAAAATATTATAAGAGATATTTGTTTTTTCTATTTTATCAGTGCCCGTGTGGTCTGGAGTTAATGTTGCTGGAGTGCGTTTGCGTGATATCAACGAGTATGTGGGTACTGATAAAGATAAGGAACATTGGAACGAATTACATAAACAAGTAGTACAAAGCGCGTATGAGGTGATCAAGTTGAAGGGCTATACTTCTTGGGCTATTGGTCTCAGCGTATCGCATCTTGCGTCAGCAATATTAAGAAATTCCAATCAAGTGCATGCTGTCTCCACTCTAGTTACTGTAAGTCGACAACAAGGATTTCTACTACATCAGGTTACATTAACGTATTTATTTAATAAAAATGAAATATCCTTTTATTACAATTTATATTAATTATTTTTATATATAAAGTTTAATTGTCTGAAACTATATAATAATTAATAATTTTAGGGTTATCATGGAATTAATGAAGAAGTGTTTTTATCCTTACCTTGCACATTGGGTGAAGATGGCGTCACACACATCGTTCAGCAGAAGTTAACAGACGATGAGCTTGCATCGTTACATAAATCTTCATCAACGATGCACAAAGTGCAACAAGGCCTTAAATTTTAAAAGAATATATTATCTTTACCTATGTATTTTATTAGTTTAATTTTATTTATGCTTTTTGTGTCGTTTTATGTGCAATTTATGCATATTTATATGTTTCAAATGTTAACATATTTATTATATTATATACAAGTTTACTTAATCTTTATATAAATATTTCTAACTACTTAATATTTATATTTATATTGCCTGTGACATGTGCATGTGTGAAAATGTTAAAAATATGAAATACTTTTGCTTTATTTATTTCTTATTATTATAATGTTTATTGTGATAGTATTTCTTAGTGACAGAAATATTTGTCATATAATTTATTTTTCACATTATTTTGTTACAGGTTTAGCTGTCATTATGAATTATTTTAATCGTTACATGACATTATTTAAAAATCATTATACATTTTACAAATCATTATTTAACTAATAACTCTGTTATTTGTACAATTTTTTCTTATAAAATATATTTATAAAAGAAATGTGTTTTATTATAATATAATATTATAATAAAGCGCATGCACACACACATATGCAGAGAATGCACAAATTTATATATATATATATATATATATATATATATATATATAATTCAAATTTAAAATATCATAGATTTGATATTAATTTTTTTTTATTAAGCAAATTGTTTTCAATTTTTAAGCATTTTGTTCTTTTAAATTTAGTTCATACGATGCAGACATATACCATACATATATATATTTTTATTTTTAATATAGTTATTTATATTGCGCTATTTATTTTATAATAGAATAAGGAATGTTTCTGTAATGAATGTTTATGCGCGTTTATATATGTGTGTATAAATATTTAAATATTTGTGACAAATTATTAAAATAAGACATTGTGCATCATTTTTAATATATTATACAAACAATAAAGTATTTTTCAATGATTTATCAATAAATTATATATATTTATATTACATATATTTTTCTTTTGAACGCTTATTGTACAAAATCTAAGTAACCATGGATGTGTTTAACAATTGGTGAATCAATGATGGCGGAATGCCAAAAGTATTATGTTGTCCGCTTATCAGTATACTCTCTCGTTTTGAGAAAAAAACAATTTAATGCGATGTAACAGGCGCGGGTAAAAACGATCGTGCGACGTTTACAAAATCGGCAAATGACAGAAGCAATGGTTCCATTATCTATACTGTCAAAGTCATCGTTATCAATATGTTTGAAAAAATTTATTGGCGTGACATCAACGATAGGTTCTATTAGGAATCGATATACCCGTGCTTTACCATCGACAGTTTTGGCAAATATCTTCGGAAATAATAAAGGAAAACCATTCGGAAAAGATGCGACTGTTGGCTCAGATTTACAGAGAGCAGTTAATTTTGTGTAAGCATCTTTATTGTTATATTTATATATATGATAATTTTTATTTTAAATAAAATATAGTATAGATAGAATTTTATTTATTCTAAATTAAATTTAGCAATAAATTATTTTTAGTTATATTTATTTTATGCATGTTGAATTTATTTAATTACTGCAGTTTGCTAAAATACGTTTTATGTTATATAATTATTTAAATTCTTTATTGTAAAGCAATTTTATATGATATCTTTCTTCTTTATGAAATATTTTTATTTTAAAGATATTATAATAAAAAAATGTATGAATGCCTTATGACATATCGTATAAAATTGTTATTTATATAAATTCTTCTATTTCCAATATAAATCTCTGATTAATAGACAATTTTTCAGAAAAGCTGATATAATCAGTTTTGAAATTATTGGTAATTTTAAGCATGATTTAAAGAAATGTTTAAATCTAATTATGATGTAATATTTCATTGGAATATTGAAGGAAAGCGAATTATTCAAATTTTAGTTCGCCATGCTTACGAGAAGAGCTCTTATGCAAGTCTTCGGAACCAGTTAGAGATTGTTGTCATAAAGTCACTATTGTCGGTGCTGGTATGGTTGGCGTTGCTATTGCCAATTCGCTTCTCTTTCAAGTATTACGTTTTTCTTCTAAAATTTTGTTTCCTAGCTCTATATTATGTTTATTTACTAATTGCTCATTTTATATTAAATTAAAAGTCCTTATATAATCAAATAAATATATATAAATATTAATTATTTAATTATAATATATTTACATTAATTATAGATAGTTTTTTGTATAATTTAAATAAAAAAAACATTAAACTTTAATTTTTTAACAACATGTTTTATAAATATTTATTATCATTTCTTATTCAATATTAGCGAATTACTTCGCACATTGCAATGATAGACGCCTTTCCTAAAAAGTTAGAAGGCGAAGGAATGGACTTTAGTCATAGTTCTATATTTATAGGAGATCCGAAGATCGAGTACGATACAGGTAATGGATTTATCATCTGAATAATTAATTACAAAAAATTGTAAATTTATTTTATTATGCCATTAATATTATTAATTAATTTAATTTAGTTTTGCATATTTTTATTAATAATAATTTGATGTAAAAATAAATTTATTTGGATTTCAATTTATATTTTATTTCTAATAATTATTTATCTTTGTTTATATCTAATAATATAAAAAAATTCTTTTGTAGATTTTTGTGTGTCAAGTAATTCAAAAGTCTTAGTAATTTGCGCGGGTGTACGACCAATAAAGGGTGAAAGTCGACTTGATTTGGTGCAAAGAAATGCAGAGATATTGAAAAATATAATACCACCTTTAGTAAACTATAGCCCTAATGCGGTGTTTGTCGTTATCAGCAATCCCGGTTGAGATAAATTTTTGAAACAATTTTATTTTTTAATTTTTATGTATTGCAATTTAACGTAAATATGTGACTTTCTTGTATAGTGGATATCTTAGCCTGGCTTACATGGAAGTTGAGTGGACTTCCGGCTCATCGAGTAATTGGTAGCGGAACTTATTTGGATAGCGCAAGATTTCGTTATTTGATTGCTGATCGAATAGGAATAGCGCCAAGTTCGGTTCAAGGATATATTATCGGTGAACACGGGGATAGTATGGGTAAGCTCTATCAATTGATATCTGACATTTGATACAAAGGCGAGATGTTATGTATTAAATCCAATGTAATATTTAACGTTTCGCTAGTTCCGCTCTGGTCTGGAGTGAGCGTCGCAGGAGTGCAGTTCCGCGATATTATTCCGAATATCGGTCTGGAGACGGATGATGAAAGATGGTACGATATAGCGAAAGAAGTCGTAAAGTTGTGAGTTTCTAATAATTTTATTTTTAGAGTAGGAAAACATATATATTGCTAGATTTCAATCTTGTTACATCAAAAAATAATTACTTAGAGAGTTATAGTAATTTATATTATATAATAATTTATGTTATAAAAATATTATATATATAGGCTTATAAAAAAATGTTTGAGATATAACGAAAAAGTTTAGAGAGTATTTTTAATTTTTTTAGTGGTCCAATAGTGCGGTGTTTAAAAGGATATTCAAATACGGCCATTGGACTTTCCACAACAGACATCATAATCGCAATATTACGCAATACACAAGCAATTATACCAGTTTCAACTCTCGTGCAGGTATATTAATATGCATGTATGCCACGTTGCTGTCATTCCAAAAATATTTTATTGACTGATAAAGAAATTACTTTAACAGCTAATTGGATCGGACTAGCAATAGCAATAGCAATAGCAGTTAATTACAGATTTCTTTCACATATAAATAAATCTAAATGTATACAAATAAAACAAAATAAATCGCGTTTTTTAAAGAGATATTAATGTTACATTGACTAAATATAAATTTATAGGAGATAATATTCTCTCTAAACAAGGCATTAATCATTCTTCTAGGGTCATCATGATGTGTGCCACGATATGTTTCTATCCTTACCTTGTGCGATTGGCGAAAATGGCGTCACAAATATCATACGAATGCACATAACCGAATACGAAAAAAAGCTATTCCAGGCTTCGGCGAACACCGTATATAAGATACAGAAAGATGTCAATATTAAGTCTTGAACGATGGTACATGCAGTGAGGTCGTACAAATGCATTTAATTTCCTATGTAAAAAGTTCTGTCGAGTATAATAAATTATTACGTAGCTTGTCCTTTGTTCTGTAGCTTTGTTCTATTACTTTTGTCACCGCAAAACTGTTTGCCACACAATCTTTTCCGACTCGTGCAGGAACATCCGCGGTAACCGCGGAGATGCTCCGATTGTTAATTTATGCAAATCAGGAAGGAAATTATCGCGTAGATCTTTCGCGTGCGCGTGTCTTTTCAAATTCCGCAATAATTAGACTCGATAAAATGGGTTTTTGGAACGACTGATACTTTCTCACTAATAATCTTCAAGTTCTGAAATCGAATTCGGGGAATTAATGATGCAATTGACCAAGTTTTGTGACACTTAATAATATCTGATACTTGTTTTATTTGTACAACTCGAATCTGGGTTTTTCCAAGTAAATCTTTTCGATGAAATTAAATTGCGTGTTTTGAGGACTTTCCTGTTGCATGTGAAAATCATATTGGCACCTCCAGAAGGCAATAAGAGTACACGTCATCTCGTATTCCCACGACATAAGAACGAGCGAAAGGTGACCGGTGGATGGTACCAGAAGGCCGCGATTACGCCCCAGGCTAGGCCATGGCAAGGTGAGAGAAGAGTGTGAAAACCATGTGTAAGATGGCGTTTTGAAGTGCTCGACCTGTGTAATATTCACCTGCATGAACGGCCTGATACACAGGACCGTAAAAGAATCTGGTCTCTACTTGGAGAAACAAAGTATCGCACGTTACAAGATTTATCCTTTCATTCAGATTTATCGTAAAAATTATGCATGCCGTAATTAGGTGTCCTAATGACAACGATTTCAACATAAAAGAGGATGAAGAGTAAATCAGCATCAGCGTATAAAAAGTAATGAAATAGAAACTCATTACGATACATAATATCACCGTAGAGTCAAGTGGCGAACCGTTCTCCTTTTACTCGCTACAAATCCACTTGAAAGACATGTCATCGATTTTGAAAGAATAATTCTGCATAAACTGACATGTCACAAGTGCTTGCGATAGTTACATAAATTCCTAGTTGATTCCAGGGAACGTGACCAAAAGTCAATCTGATATGATTTTGAAATTAATATCCAATTTGATAATGTGACATATTGTTTAATTAATATTTCTGAAATATAACGGACATAAAAAATAAAATTGCTATTTAATGTTTATCGTCTATCTGCTAACTTATGATTAGATATTCATTAAATCGATATTTAATCCGATGTTAATCTTCATATTCCCTTTATTTTTCAATTACGAATCTGCAAAAGAGAATGTATTGATTTCACATGTTTAATATTTTATTTGATTTTTGTTCGTGGTTTTTTGACACTTTAAACTGCAATTTACTTTTTGTATGCATGTATGTATCCATCTTTAATACTAAAGCAATGAAAAGTTAAATATATTTGAAAGAGTAACACATTCGCGCGATCTCGAAGAGATTGTAAGATCCTAATAGTTGTTAGTGTATTCATACTTTACGCACTTAACTTTTTTATATTTAATGCAAATTCAAGATTTGCATAAGTTTGTTATTCCAGAATTATCTTATCAACAATATTTCGATATTTTACATGAATACAAAGGTACACTCTTGAGCGATTCGTTGCTTGTTCTTTGCCATCAAATTTAAACTCAGCTCTAATTTAAACCCTTGCTCCGAAGCAGGTTCGACTCGAGATGGGTTCCGCAGGTGATGTTCACATCCCTGGCTTTCAGGTGGAGGTGGTACACAGCCGGGCCCCGTTCTCCGTTGGTCTCGCCGCTCGTCCAGTGGAGCTCAGTCAGTAGACAGTCGATCCGTTCGGTCAGCTGGTTTTGCTCATTCGCGTGTTACAAGAACTTCCTGATGGTAAGCCCATCACGAGCGACCAGATAGATCCCGGTCGATCTTCCGGTGTACCTTTGAAGGGACCCTCGAATAAATCAGATCGATTGGAGAGAATATCGGCGGCCCGCGCGCCGCATGTGCGCGAGTGTGCAGCATCTCCACCGGAAACACCAACGGTACCAGGGATCAAATCATCCGTAGAAGAGGACCAGACGACAACGGGGGAGGAAAAAGAGGGTAGCGACTCAGGAAGGAGAGGTGCGCGCGCGCGGTCAGACAGGAAATGACCATATCGTACGCGAGCGAAGTGCCGAACGGCTCTAGCTTTGGCTGCTTCTGGAGGATTCTGATCAAGTGAGTTTTTCGATCCGCTGTTTCCTCGTTACGGTTGTTAATGTTAACTCGCTTCAATATGCTGAGTATGTTGAATATAAATTATGTATACATATAGATATGATTTCTTGCGGTCGCTATACGTTTGACGTAGACACTCGAGCTGTCAAGTTGCTCGCGGCTGACAGGTCGAACTGGTAACTGGCGCATGGAATCCTGGCAAGAGTTATTTTTTCCTACATTTCTAGGTTTTTATCGTCAAAAAACATATGTTTATATTTTATTTTTTAACAGTATGTTATTTATAACTTTCAAGGTAAATTTAAACGATTTTGATATCTTATTTATTACAAGCTATTTGCTTTCCCAAGCTTTTTTTTATTAATTATAGTCGTTATAATGATTATAATTAACATAAAAGTTTTAAAAAAAGAGACCTACTTTTACTTTTGCTAAGTTGCATAAATGATAGTAATAGTATTTTTAATTGAAACTCGAACATATGACCTGCTGCCGGCGTCGCGATTACGCGATCATTGCAAAACATAACAGTTTCGTGGTATGAATTTGTCAAAGAACATCAGAATGTATCCAAGAATTAAGGTTTCGCCATTTTTTTATATAAAGTGGTCCACAAAATTGGATCGCGAGTTTTAAACATCTATATTGTCAGTATGCTATGTAAGAAATTGTGCTAGTGCGGCCAGCTGATCGTTGTGCAACTGTTAACTTTCGACTCAACTGCGCTTTCAATATATTATAATAGCTATGTTATTATAGTTATATATTTATAGTTATATAGTACAAAGTGATATATTATTAGAATTTATTGTTATTTATAAAAAAAAAACAAATCTTTGATAAAGCTTTAGCAAATAATCGTGGTAAAAAACAGAAAGATTTTCCATATATTAGCCATACTATCAATCAGAATTGTCCAATAGATTCAGGCAAATTAACTAGTCACATATTTTGAAACTAGTCAATAAATTAGCATCGTCAATTAGCAAAATTGAGCTCCGGAAGTGTCCCAAATTTTTTTCAACCATACAGAAAATACGATTTGCACAAATCATAGCGGCGAAGCACGTAAAACCCGCTAACACAGAAATGCTGTTCGGTCAATGCTTGCTCGCGCGCGTGTTTTAAAGAAATAAGGTCGTCGATACGTCGATTTTAAACGTAACGGCGCACACGGCCGCTGTGTGCTTGGAATATCACTGCTAAAAATTATTGCACTACTACACTCGAGTATATATCGCTCATTTGCTACGCGATGGATAACAATGATAATATGTTTATGATAAAGGGATTAACTTAGCAATGCGAGCTGGACACGTGTTTAATTGAATCATTTGTATGCATATGTAAATGTATCATATATTCAGAGTACAGCGATGTCGCGAGATCATTTCTTCTGAATGATCATGTGAAATATACGTAGCATCTTTCTTGCTGTTATTTTTATTTAATTCCGGAAGAGTATAAGAAAAGTTGATTAATGACATAATTTAAAAATACTTCCGTTGTTTCGCTAATATATATACATTTATTTTTTGAAGAGTCATATAAAAATGACGACAACGGATATTACAGAGATCATTGCTAATTATTAGTTTTAATATTATACTATTAATCACATTAATATAACGCTTAAATATTTTTTATATATGATGTTTTTTTATACATTTACTATAATACGTTTTGTTACTGATAATAGGTTGGATGTTTTTGAAGAAAGCTATATTTTATTTATAAAATAACAGAGAATTTACAGTAATCTTTCTTGCGATGAAATTCCAAAAGTATTTTCAAGATAAATTAATTTTAATTCCTAAAAATGCAGCTCATTTTCATCTTAATTACAACGCAATGCCATTAAACTATTATTTCATAGTTCAAAATTTTACCATTAAAAAGTTGTTAGTCATTAAATCATTATATAATCGTTCTCGTAAATCGGTGACATCAATGCTTGTCGAGAACGTTTCTACGCGACTCAGTGCCAGAGATTACATGTCAAATTAAATGTTATATAACCTGAAATTTTTGTGCAATATATGATGTAGATATGAGAGTAATGTGCTTGTAATGATCCGAGATGTTTGAATACAAAGATTAATTGCTGAAAAATTTCCGAGTGCGACAAGCAGAATCTCTTGATTAAATAGAGTTCGTTCAACAACAATACGCCAATAACTGCTTGTCACATCCATACAGCCATTTCTCAAATATAATTGTGAAACACAAACTTATCTTGGATCGTGCTTGCCGAAATAATAAACAAAAGAAAAAAGAAAGAAGAAAAGTGTGAACAAAAGTTGCATTGTTTCTAACAATAAGTAACAAAACATTAAACCTCTCTTTGCACATACAATTCTCTCTCTTACTTGTCTTGATAACAACCGAGAAAACCATAAAATGGATGTGTTAATTGCGTTGTGAAGTCGTTCGCATGACATTAACTATTATCGATGTTATGAATAACTCGCGGAGAAAGGTATATCAACAAGTTAAGAAATTAAAATATGGTTCTCTCTATATTGTCAAAAATAGGACATAAATATAAGCAAAGTTATTTTTATTATTAAAGAAGAGAGTAATAGATGTCAAGAAAATTTTCTTACATTAAATTTGTTCGCATAATTCTAGATATACGACGAGTAAGAATAAAATTGATCAAAAAAAATGTTGTGCATATAAGCCTTTTTCTTGTCTCCGTATATGTTACACATTGTGTAACTCATATGTATCATATATATATATATATATATATATATATATATATACTCGTATATATTGCATATGCTCAAGAAATAAAGTGAATTTAAACGTAATTGTTCTGATATTGCTCCAATACTATGCACTTTGCAGTTGTTCGCAAAAATGCTGATGGCATGATCTTTTATATCCTAATGCAGTTCACGGTGTCCTTGTCGAACCCCGTTTGTTGACATTTCTATGACCTTTATACATTGCGTTCATGGATAGATGGTCTCGGTTTCTCTCCTAGCGCCTCGGTGGAAACGGCCTTAACGGCTTTCACGTAAGATCTCGCTTTCCTATGCGCGTTATACCACAACACTATACAGTAGTTAAAGGAAAGACGACAGCGGTTGGTCTATAAATACACCAGAATGTCCAGGAATAGAAAATCTTTTGCGATAGCGTGCAAACGAGAGCGCGCTAATATTCTCAGTTCTTGACAGATATGATTAGGTATACTATAATTTGAGAAGAGAAAGGAATCTCTTTAATAAATGTTTAATTTTTTGATAGGTTCCTAATGTGTCAGATTATTTTAATGAACGCGGTGAATGGTGAGCGTTTATCGAAAGGTACCGTTCAAAAGAAGAAAATAATTCGCATCGGTATTTATAGCAGAACAGAGCAGCTCATACTAGAAAAGCGAGCAATCCTGCTTCTGTAACATTTTCTTGCTATAGCGTTTTGCTTCTTTAGATGCAGCGAGCACGCGAAGCATTCCTTTTTCTCGTTCGCGTCTTCCGCAGTGATCCATACCAGCTTTCTTATCCGCCTACCAACGCTACTGGCAAAAATAAACAGCATGATCGGCGATCTATAAATATCCAAGAGAGTCTCCGGAACTTACTATAAATACATAGCCAATATCCAGGAATAGAAAATGATCTTACCTGCTTTTCCAGTACGCTGATAACGATCATACAGGCGAATTCTCGCACGTAGAGCAGATCTGTTACGAGGTTGACGATGCGATTGTTAGAACGATTTTTGTCGCCACAAGAAGAGGTGATCCTTCTCATGTACGTGCATGGCTAAGGGCCAAATCTCTCAACTTCTTCCGAAGGTTAAATTGTCGAATCAAATTTCCATCATCGATTTATTCTCGTGACTATCATCACAACATTTCTCTATTACTTGTTATTTACTTTTTTCTGTTTTTTTTTCTGATATACATGTATTATGTTATATTAACAGCTACTTGAAATCTTTGTATAAAGGAAAAAAATATTTTTACTAATAATTCCGTCTACCATTTACTAGGAATTGAACATCCGGAATGTAAGAAACGTGTCGTGACATTAGCGATGCAGCACGAAAGCGAAACGATAGCCTAAAGTATTTTTATGGCTCATGATTATCGTCCAAAGCATGACGTTTGTTGCAACAAGTGCCTGCATGTACGGTGTTACAGCTGGCTCAATCACGCGCGCGAAATACTCGTAGCGCATGAACGGAACAATCCTAGCAGGCAACTCGCACGCGTGAAAGCAAGAACGGTTTCACGTCGCGCGAAGCTGGACGTTTTAACATAGAGACCGTTTCTCGTGCAATGTTTGTCTTGATGGATTTATCGAAAAGAAACGACAAATCAAGCGACTTCGCAAAACATCGATTCGTAAAACAATGTTGCCTTCGAATCGGCATGCGCAGACAATGCGTAAGGCCAGTCTGCGCGGACAAAATTTGTGCAGATGTTTGCAGAATTACAAACAGTATATTGTGAAATGAAAAAGCGCGTGTCGCTAAACGATAAGCCAATCACGAAGAATTGTCACGCACTTTATGTGGGACATGAAATAAGACACTCGAGTATGCCGAAAATATTCTGAAACAAGGAAAACGTAAACGTATGGAATTATTAGGTTGTTGAAATTGCAAGAAATGAAAAGAGAGCGCTTAATTATTCGAAATTGCTGGAGATATTTATGAACAAATTTAGTCACAAAAAACTTTTAATTGATAAGGCACTAGAAGACAAGTTCTACTGGCCTAATTGGTCCAAGGAATTAGAATTATTTCGGACAATTAGATCAGTAGAACTTATCGTCCGGTGTCTTATAATTTCTTTTGCAAGTTTTTTGCAGTTTTTATTCATATACCGAGATGCCACATTGATTCGTCACGTTCAAGATTCATGTGTCGCTACAGATAAGTCCTATCGCGCTCATTTTTGCAATGCTTCGTGTCGTCCTCTTGCGCGTTCGTCGTCGCTGGTTGTTTTGCGACACGCCGAATGACAATGAGAAGACAAGCGA